TTAGTCACTGTTATCGTCATCGTCATCAACACCGTCACCATCACCTTCACCTTCACCTTCATCGTCGTCGTCACCTTCCCCTTCCCGTTTATCGTCACTTGCACCGATACTGTCACCTTCATCTTCATCTTCCTCGTTATCGCCACCTTTTTCATCACGATCGCTACTGCTACGGTTGTCATCACAATTATTATCATCATTGTCATCATCCTAAGTATATGTACAAATATGTATCCCTATACCACCGTTTTTATTTCATTTCATCTTATTTCATCAATATTTTTCATTTATTATTAATATTTTCATATATATATATTTTTTCATTATATACTTTTATGCTAGTATTGCCATTGTCACTCTTAATTGCAATATCAATAATATCATTACTTTTTTGCTTGTCACGATCATCGCTTTCTTGATTGCCAATAACCCGCGATGTTATTCTCATTATCGTCTTTATTATTACTATCAATCACTATTGTTTCGCCGATCATAGATAATACAACTGCCATTACTGTAATGACCATTTTATCGCCATTACAATTCTCACAACACTCTCATTACCATTAATACCATAACTTTTACAATTAGAACTACCGGCATTATGATTTACTACCACCATGATTCCCATAATCCCCATTTTTTCATAAAAAATAAACAAATTTCTCACATATCTACTCACAGATTTCCATAATCCCCATTTTTTTTCGTAAAAAAATAGATAAATTTCCCACATAACATCTACTCACATTGATAAAGTCACAGTAAAACAAAAGAGGAAATTCAATTTTGAATTTTATTTTGAACATTTTATAGACGTTTATTTCTCGTGGATTGGTATGCAAGGCTCGGTGAAAAAAAAATATCTGAGGATTTTAGAGAATTCTCTACGTGTCTCCCTCTTCATTTTCATTTTTCTCTCCTTGTTTAAGGTCCTCTTCCTCCGTTTGAATATTCTCTACTTTACTCTTACTTTTTTTTTAATTATCCGTCTTCTCTTTATTCCTCCTCTTGTATATGGTCTTATTAAAGTTGGGGAAATATGGAAATAAAATTGAAAGAAAAATGTCTTTCCTTTTCACTCCGTTCGACATCATGCGCATGGGTAGTTGGAACTATTCTTTTTCAAATATATTCAGATGAGAAAAAAATATCAGTTTATTTTGTGTGTGTCTGTGCCTATATTTTTTCTTTTCTTTTCCCTTTGCGTGTGCGTGTGCGTATATATATATATGTGTGTGTGTGTGTGTGTGTGTGTGTGTGTGTGTGTGTGTGTGTGTGTGTGTGTGTGTGTGTGTGTGTGTGTGTGTGTGTGTGTGAATGAGTATGTGTGCGCGCGCGCTCGAGCGTTTGCGTATAAATGCAGAGACAAGTAAACGCAATTTCTCACACACATTTCAAAACCCAATATTCAGGCACCCGCAAATCCATCTCTCCCGTGTATCTAACATTTCAATCATAAAAAAAACGCCAGTTCCCCAAAGGACAAAACCGAAGACGAATTCAACAGCCTCTAAACTCCCCAAAATCACCCCGAGACTCGAACAGGGACCCGCTCTGCCCCAAGATAACAACACACACGGTAATTACTCCCCTTAACGACCAACAG